GAGACAGATGTTAACTATTTGTAAAATGTAGGATATTAACTGTTATGCTATTGAAAATTCGAAAACTCACTGCTGATTCAGTTCTCCATGTTTCCAAGTCTGTGAATCATAATGGAAGGAGACTGCCCATCTTTAGCTGGTGGATTCGAGCTGCCAGAGGCTCGAAGCAATTGGGTTAACAGCTCAGTTTGTTAGACTGTTGCTAGAACTCTCTAAATCCTTCTCTTTCTTTCTGCTACCATTTAACACACCCTGTCTCTTTGGAGGCTCACTCTTATCTTTCCACTTACTGGTAAGTGTTGCTGGCGGCTTCTCCATCATTAGAAAGAGCTTCACCAGTGACCAAAGGTAGAAACCAAGTCAATCAAACTATAGTCAAATCACCCGAGGAAGAGTAGACTGAAAATTGAGCAAAGTCTGAAGCATGAGGAAAGAATTAGATTTAAGCCTAAATACGTATCTATAAATATGAATAAGTAATAAAAGCTAGGCAGGTTCTAGCTGGTGGAAAAGAATTAGAGTGGAGCAAGAAAAGTCAGGTCTGGAGACTAGAGATTCTCTTTCATTAATTAGTTAGTGCCACTAACTTAGCAATAAATGAATAAATGTGAGGTAAGATTAACTAGGTGTATTAAGGTGGTTGAACATCTTAAACTGCACCAATTTAGCAGCGAGTGGGTTCAGCACGTTTTACTATAACAATTAGCTTCCACTTGAAGTCAGGAACTCACGTGTGCATCTCGGCATCTCAGCTCTGTTAGAGTCTACAGCATTTGCTGAGATGGAGTGACCTGCATTTCCTCCAAATAAAAAACATGCTAATCACACAGAAATAGAAATCACAGAAAGTGCGACCTGAGAGAATGAAACAGCTCTCCTTTTACGTACGAAGAATCCATCTCTAAATTGTAGAAGTTAAAAGAGATGACGAGATTCTATATTTTCCCTTCCCACGGATCCATAATCTCAAGGGTTACCTAGCACGTTTCCATCAGATTTGGTTCCTCGGATACTCCATAGTTGTAAATCAAGAGTCTGTGCGTGTGTGTGTGTGTGTGTGTGTGTGTGTGTGTGTGTGTGTGTGGTGGGGGGTGTTAATTCACACAGCCCAATTGTTTGCCACAGTGCAGATAAATAAAAAATTTACTGAGCTAGATGTTCTTTTTCATTTCAATTACATATCCTGCATTGTGTATTTATAACCTCAGGGATATCACCAGTCATGAACTGAGCAAAGCGTGAACAGGACACAGTCTTGCATAAAGACTGCTGAGTCATTCAATAGAATGACACAAATTCAGGCTTCAGTCTTGAGTCCAGAAAACAATGGATGTGATACTTATCAACATAATGATTTGTGTAAAGGGGTCAGGAAAGGAAAAACAACCCAGGAAAGGCAAGGTGCTCACGAATTGGAAATCACTGATGGGTTAAAAAGTCTTTGTCTGGAGTAAGCATACCTTTCCTGGCTGCCAAGGAACTTCCGTATTTCCTGAGGCTGTAGGAGTGTAAGGTGAAATCCTCTAGCAAAGATTGAGGCCAGATGAGGATGGTAATCCTTAAATGCTATTTTGGGACTCTGCCCCTCTAAACTCCACTCAGCGTTCCCCAAACTGTGGTCCAGTTTTACCCTCCACAAAAAAATAGCAAAATCATTGTAAAAATTGTCTTTCTCCCTCCATGTCATAAGCAAAATAAATCAGATGATAAACCAAGAAAGATGTTTAAAATTTGTTTAAAGGTGAAATACTAGTATCTTTACTATATTTAGTATCTGGCTATATAATGATAGTCTCAAACTTGAAAATTAAAAGATCTGTAGCTCTCCTAAAGATGAGTCGTTTTTTTTATTCTAATGAAAGTTTACAGAGACTTTGGATTTCCATTCATTCATAGTTGCACACTTTCCTCCCTGCCCACCTTTCCCCCCTCGCCAGTTCGCTTTTCTCTTTGAAAAGTAAAAAAAAAAATAATATTCCTTGTTATATAATCCTCCCCAGTCCACTCCACTATGCAGCTGTCATTCTGGACTCTTGTCATGACAATAATATCTAATCATACATTTCTTCTAAACAGCTCTCTCCCTCATCTGTTTCAATGCACTATGCATTATTTATCCCCTCTTAGTTTCCCCCCAGTTCCTCCAATGTCGGTCCCGCTTTACAATAGTGGCACTATGCATTATTTGTCCTTTTGTGCCTGACATATTTCACTCAGCATAATGTCCTCCAGGTTCATCCATTTTGTATAGTATTTCATGAGTTCCTTGTTTTTTAATGCAGCATACTATTCCATTGTGTGAATATACCACAGCTTCTCTATCCATTCCTTTGTTGATGGGCACCTGGGTTGTCTCCAACTCCTTGCTATTGTGAACAAAGCTGCAATAAACATGGGTGTTCAAGTATCTACTTGGATGTCGGTTATAGTCTCTTTAGGGTATATTCCCAGTAGTGGAATTGCTGGGTCAAATGGTATTTCTATTTCCAACTTTTTGAGAAAGTGCCATACTACCTTCCACAGCGGTTGCACCATTTTGCACTCTTACCAATAGTGTTTGGCTTTTCTTCAAAAAGCTGAACATAGACATTCCACATGACCCAGGTATTTCTGCTAGGAATATATCCCAAGGAAAATAGAATGGATACACAAGCAGAGATTTGTACACTGATGTTCAGAGTGGTGTTATTCACAACAGGAAGAAATTGGAAACAGCCCAAATATCAGCAAAGTAATGGATTGAGAAATCATATTACATTCAGACAACAGATTATTTCTGAAAGAAGATAAGCCATGAAGTAAAGGTAAGAAGTAAAGCTGAAAACAGTTACATGTCCTAGAGAATGCACTGTTGTGTAGTCAGTTACAACTCATAGCAGCCTTACAGAACGGAGAACTGCCTCCGATGATTTCTGAGGCTGCACATCGTTACGGGAACAGCCTTTTCGTTCTCCGACAGGTGAGTCTGAATTGCTGACCTTTTGGTTACCGGTCCAGCACTTAACTTACAGTGCCACCAGGGCTCCGCTGTGCTAGAGAAGTAAAACATAAAGCCTTTTTTAGATCCCAAGACTGGGTCTGTGTTCTGATGAACTGCTTGAGAAAATGAATACTCACCTGCTTCATTTATTAATTATTGCCAAGAATGTCAACTTCCAGTGGAAACAGCATAAAGAATTACAAGAGTATGGTGGTAATCTTTAGAGAAAGATTCAATTTAAATGTTGATACTTAAAATGAAAATATATTCTTTGAATAATTACCTGGATCTGTAGCAGACATCAGGGAACCAAAAAATAAGCAGTCGGTGAAATGAAAGTCTCCATTTTTCAACTGGCCAGCATATACCATAGCCTTCACAAACCCATACATAATTAACCTGTTGAAGAAAAAAAGAAAACCTTCAAATGGCTGCTTGAAGCCTGTACAAGCCCATGCTCTGGTCGCTCACATTATCATGTGTACCTTGAATAAGTAGCATATGCAAAAATTACCATCATAATTCCCAACTCATGGGCGTGCTTCCTCACAGCATGCTATGTTTACAACTCTTGGTTGTTAAAGAAAATACTCTCACCAAGAATTGCCATTTATTCGCCTGGCAAAAAGGTTACAGAGCACTTTATAGAATATTCCATTGAACATAAGGTAAATATGAAGAACATAAAAGTAGCCTTCCAAGTGTGACAGAGTGTGCCCACAAATACAGCTCCTGTGTTGTCATCTGTAAACTGAAGGCTTTTCATTCTGTGGCTTTGCTGGCTGTCACTTCCAGTCTGTCATGATAATGAGAAGGTTATCAGGCACTCAGGCAGCCAGTCACTAAACAAAAGATGATTCTCCACTATTGCTAATGCCAGGACACTTGCACACCAGATAGAGGAACACTTTTGGGTTATAGAACCTAACACTTTCAAACACTGTTGAAAATGAGTTTTGAAATGGTTCCATTTGGATATTGCAAGAAGATCTGTTCCTTTTCAAGGAGATTATATAAAGGTTTCTGACCTTACCATCTTCACACCATGGAATGCAGCATGTTTGAGTTAGTCTTAATTTGCTATTCTATAACTTTTAAATTATGTATTATTTAATTAGGAAGCTCTTATGGCCTAGTGGTAAGAAACTGTGCTGTAATCTCAAAGGCACACAATTCGAGGCACCCAGCTGCTCCAAAGAAGAATGGACAATCCCCGCCCGTACAATTAATTGCCTCTGAAGACCCGCCAAGAGGGTCAGCTATGGGTTGGTTTCTACTTGATGGTACACAACAACAACAACAACAACAACAACATTATTTAACTGGCTGATTAATTTTGCAAAAATTACAGTGGAGGAAGTACAGAGATTGGTGAAGTAGAACACAACATTATCACTTTAGAATTCAATTGTTTACCGCTTGCTATCAAAGTGATCGATTTCAAGAATAGAAGTCATCTATAGGTCTTTCAAAGAGATGATCATTAGTCACAAAGTCTTTGTTCTTAGAGACTCCTCGGTCAATCTGGACTTGCAATCTTTCGCTTAGTAATCTAGTACTGGCTTAACCATGTCCCCCATTTCTGTGACTATACTACCTACTACTGTCAATTCTGTTCCAACTCAAGATGACCCTCTATCATGATCCTGAGGTAAATCTCTAAGGGAGGAGATTCTCCATCTTTCTCACCCAGAGCAACTGGTGGATTCAAACAGCTGACCCATTAGTTAATAGCCCACTACACTATGCACTGTATCACTAAAATTCCTTAAGATTCCTTAAAACCAAGGGGGCTCCTTTACAGCGACTTATTCACGATCATCAAAGGAGGGCAATCTGTTGGTCTACCAGGTGTCCTGACTCTTGACAGATATATAGGATAACTGCATTTAATTTTATTTGTTCATTCAATAGACATTTACTATTGAGTGTCTGTTATATGTCAAATTCATTCTATGCTAGGTATCCAAGTTTTATTGAGGTTGAGATAGAATCCTAATCGGAGCCTGCAGCCTTTAATCTCCTGCAGTAATAAGTCATTTCAATCTTCTTCCCTTTCTGTAAGCAAGTGTGTATAACCTGCACAATGCAAGCTGATGAGGAGTCTTTCTCCAACCCTGATGCCACTGTTTTCCTCATATAGTCCATATTCCCGAATGATTTGCTCAGCATACAAATTGAACATGTATAAATTAAATGTATCAGAATACAGATTGTATGGAGAAGGGATACTATCCTTATGCACCTTTCCCAATTGTCATCCTTCCTTATTTTAAACCATGCAGTGTTCTCTTGTTGTGTTCACACAAATGCTTCTTGGTCTACATACAGATTTCATATGAACATAATAAAGTATTCTGGGATTTCTATTCTTTCCAATGTTATCCACAATTTGTCATAATCTACAAAGTGAAATGTCTTTGTACAGTCAATAAAACAATATATTTCTTGTATTCTCAGCTTTCAGCCAAGAGTCAACTGACATTAGCCAGCAATGACATCTCTTGTGCCATGGCTTCTTCTAAAACAAGCTTGAATTTCCAGCAAGTCCCTCTTGATGTTCCAGTCATTTTTTAAAAAATCTTCAGCAAGACAAGAAGTGCATAGCATTAACTTACATTAAATGATTAAAATGACATATAAGACTGTATATTAGGCAATTACAATTAAATTAGAAGGTTTATTATAAAATCAGAAATTCTAACTTTTTTAAATATTAAAAATGCATTGACATACATATGCATTTATGAACATAAAATATTAGAAACAGACAATTCAGAATGTTAATAGTGGCTGTGTTGCTGTGTATGATGGAGTCAGACCAACCCGTAGCTGACTCTCTCACTGGTTTTTAGAGACAGTGAATTGCAGGGAGGAGATTGCCCATCCTTCTCCCACAGCAGATAGAGCCTTGAACCACATGCCTTCAGGATTACAACAAAACTTCTTGCCACTACGCCACAAAAGCGCCTCAATAATGGTTTTATAGTGGAATTAAATGTTAACTATTTTATCTTTTTATTGTTCTACATTTTCTAGTTCTAAATGACAGTAAAGAGAAACAACAATGAATAGTTAGTTAGTGCTATTAGGAGGAGAAATTGTTGTTGTTTAATGCCGTCGAGTCATAGACGACTCATAGCGACCCTATGAACGAACAGCCTGAGCACTGTTCGTACATAGAGTTTCCGGAGGCAAGCCATTTCGGAAGTGAATGCCGCTCCTGCTTCCAGGCTTGATTTAGTCGGGAAGCTCCAGCCAACACTGTCCACCATGGGTGCCCATTACCACGATTGGCACATCACTGTCACAGGCTTCAGCATCACAGCAACCACGAGTTACCGCTGTACAGCAACGCACAGACCAGAAATAGTTATCCATTAAGTCATTGAAGCCTCATGATACTAATCATTAGCATTTAACAAATGAGAAAATCGGAGCTCATGTTCAATGACTTGTCAAGGTCACACAGTTCACTTGGGGACCGAGCAAGGCTAGAAGCCAGTCAGACAAATGCCAAATTCTACACTCTTCATCACCAACTTTATACTATTTTTTAATTCTTTCTGAAATCAATACACTTATACACACTGGGAACTAGAACCCTTCCACAAAATTTAGTATGTGCCCTATTTATGCTGAATAAATCCCTAAACTGAAAATAAATAAAATTCAATCACTTCCTGGGAAAAAACCATAAAAAATTAATTTTGAGTCCAATACAAGCTCAATATGGTCACTGCTATTACTAATATCAATCATCATGATCACTGCTAATTAGAATAAGCCAATTAGTTACTGTGTACTTAATAAACACGTGATCAAGTGATCAGTACAATCCTCCAAACAATCATCAAAAGTCAATGTCATCACACAGAGCATGAAATGCTGTGATGTTGGCAGACTTGAATGCAAAGCCACCCAAGGGTGAGGGTGGGGTTAGGGAGAGGTTAGGCTTTGTCAGTAGAGCCTATGAGGCTGGCTTGAAAGACCTATTAAAATAACAGGGAATGAGACTCAATATTTTATTTCTATACTGATCTCTCAGCTACCTATTTATCCACCCCTTGGAGTTTAAAATCTTTCTTTTTTATTTCTGAAGTTGCTATGAAGTCAGTATTTTTTTTTTCCTTTGCAAACCCATGAGTACACAGTAAATTTGCTCCAAAAGACTTTTGAGGCTACAATGATTTGAAATGAGATAAATAGGTCTGTTTCCTGGGTCCCTTTGAATGTATTCCAATCACCAATCTTTCAGTCAGTAGTTGTATGCTTAACTTTTTGCATCACTACACCATTCGCATCAGTGCAAAAAACCAATAAGCCAGTAAATGAAACACCTTCTTTGAATATCTAGAGAATGACCTTCCATATGCAACCCACTGCTGAGATTTGGGTAAAAGGCCTGTCCTGTCTGAAATGTGTCTCTCACTTTGGTGCCCAACATGGTCTTTTCTGCTGCAAGGATCCCAATGATCTCATGAAAGTCTCATTGTAACTGAAGGGCTCATATCCCTCAATGCTACATGCCCTAGTTAGCATTATTTTCCAAAGAAGTCAGTTTAAAGACCAAGATGCCAAACTGTGATCAAGTTTACAAGCACTAGTCCAAAGTATAAAAAAATCTGCCAAAACAGCCAGAAATGCACCCTCTGAAGAGGATATAATTGATGCATGGGACCTTCTAAAGATTAGATCCATATGTGCATCAAAAACTTTTTCCAATAGGGTGAAAACAAAAGAACAAACATTTGGTAATACTGTCTCAGACTAGAGTCTCATAATGAAAGTCTACAGAATACTCCTGGGCCTCCATAAGAAAAATACTGAGAAGCCAATTACAAAATGGGTGAAAGACGTGGAAAGAATTTTTGCAGAGGAAGATATTCAGATGGCAAACAGACACGTGAAGAAATGCTCCCAAAACACTGGCACTAAGAGAGATGCAAATTAAAACCACAATGAGGTACTATCTCACTCCAGTAACAATGGCAAAGTTTAACAGGGCAGCATGTAATAAATGTTGGAGAGGATGTGGCGAGAAAGGAACTCTCATACATTGTTGGTGGAATTGTAAAATGGTATAACCATTCTGGAAGACAGTCTGGTGCTTCCTCAAAAAGCTGAACATAGAAATTTTATATGACCCAGCTATTCCACTGCTTAGAACATACCCCGAGAAAATGGAGACTTGTACACCAATGTGCATAGCAGCATTATTCATCATCACAAGAAAATAGAAACAGCCCAGATGTCCAACCACAAATTGAAAGGATTGAAAAATTATAGACATTCACACAATGGAATACTATACAGGACACAGGAGCAATAATTTTGTAAATTATTACCTATCTTGGGAGGGACTGGAGAGCATTATGCTGAGTGAGGTGACTCAGTCC